TTTTTGAATAAAATAGTCTTTTAAAAAAGAAATCAGTCTAACAAATAAAACATTTGTATGTTTTAAGTTTTTTGCTCTGTGTGAAAGACAGATATTTGCTGGTTGGACTGGAGAGTGTGGAAAGCTGGTTTAACAAAGGCCAAAGATCCAGAAGGCCAACCTACAGGAGCTGTCCATCTCAGGGACATGTTAGTCTAAAACACATTTAACCATGAAATGTTCAGTTTGTGATGTTTATATTACATACATCCAGCCCCTCGGCCTCTTAGGTAGTTTACAAAATTTATGCAGAGTAAAAAAATTAAATAAAAAACTTGTTGGACTGATTTGGCATGATGTCCTGAGACGTTGCAGCTGATAGGAGTCATAAAACAGAACAGGGGGACGTTAGATGTCCTGACGCCCCTATAGATAAATGTGTTAAATGAGTGAAGGAAAATATGAGCACCAAGCAACAACCCTAGGTTCTCCCTTGAGAACCAGACCAAAACTTTTATGTGCAACCTTGCCTATAAGTATATTGCCCACAGTGTCTAAAATCGCAGAGAAACTGGTAGCAAAACAAATTATTAATCACCTAAACACCACACCCTTTACTCTCCACCCTATGCAGTTCAGCTTTAGAGTCAATTACTCTACTGAGCAGGGGAGCAGATAGGATTTTTGATCTGGTGGGGACAAAGCATTCAGCAAATGATTTCCCTCAAAGTTATTTTTGTGTAATATGGGTTAGGAATGCGTGATATAAACGATATACGGTAGAAACTATATAAATTTGGCCTATGACAGAGATCTGTAGTCTACCGGCCATACCGCAGTAATTCTTTTTGATGACGTAACCAGCTGGAGTCAAAACAGAGGAAGCGGGAAGCAGCATGGCTGAGAGCACAAAGGAAGAGCAAAAAGTTGCAAAACAAATAATCTGGACCTGGTTCGGGTGTGCGAAAATGAACGCCGAACTGTTCACATATGTACGTGACGGCGCGTCGTCCGGTCAGCTGCCGAGCGACCACACTGCCTGCAGCGGGAGGAGAGCGGTACATGTCACGATCACACAGCGAGGCGACTGTCAGTGCAAAAAAAACAACAACCTGTAAAGCATAAACAGGATGATTGTCACCCCGCTGGAGCGCGCACAGAGTAAACACGTGGAGTGCAGAAAAAGTAATCTGCAAAGTGTGCAGAAAGGAATAAATACAAGCAATTTGTTTTACCAACTTAAAACGAAGGAGGTTCTTCCAAAAACCACATCCAAGGGATGCAGATATCTATTACATTAAAGTATTATGTGTGTGTGTGTGTGTGTGTGTGTGTGTGTGTGTGTGTGTGTGTGT